TCCTTCTCGGCAGGGCTGCTCTCAATCCCTTCATCCCCCAGCCTGTATTGATACCGGGGTTGCCCTGACCCAGGTGGTGATAATGGAAAAGTAGTTTCAGTTCCATTAAAATTAAACATAACCATGGCAAATGTAAAATTGCATTTCACCGCTTCAACAGTTAATACCAGAGGCAGTTTATTCAGCTACAAAAATATATAGCCTCCTTTCCTGATTTTTTTTTTCTTAAGTTGAGATTTTGACTTGCTTGGCAAGTGAATTGCTGGTATATTTGTTCATTTAAAAATAAAAGCCATTGTAATGACTTTTAAAGCTAATTACTAGTTTGGAGCTGCACGCAGTTAATGATCTCTTCTGGCACACTTTAAAGTACAAGTGTGCTCTTAAATGGGCTTATGCAGCCGGTGCTGAACAATTCCTCTGCGTCCAGGTGCATGTTCTCTTGAAGATGTTTTTCCTTTTTGTTGTTTTTAATCTCCTGCTGGGCGGCATGCTGCTTACACGCTACAAAGGGAGGGTTTGGCCGTGACGTTGGCCATTCTCGGGCAGCATGTGGCCGAAAGCCTGGATCCCTTTCTGCAGCAAGCCCCCAGCTGCAATGCTGGGCATCTTCAGACAGCAGCTGTTGAGCACAAAGTATTTCTTCGTTTCAGAGTGGTTGGTAGGAGCTCTTGTGTGAATTGCATGTAATGATGTTTTGTCTCAGGTCTGCAGTGTGATTTATGGTAAAGTTCTTGGGTTTTGCAATTGTCTTTTCAAATGCAGTTGAACGTGCGTTGCTTTCAGACTGTTTTGTCTTCCTGCCATTATTCAGCACAGATTTTTTTTTTTCCAGGAACTCTGTGGAGCAGTAGCAGTCTCTCCCAACTCAGATGTGTTTTTATTAGCATGCTTTATCGTTAGGCTCTTGCATTTCTGTATTAATCTGTGAAAATCTCTGCAAGCGTAATTTTTTTTTCATTGCTCCGCAGGAGTCCATTATGTAATTGCCAACTGTGGCCGCATCCTGATTAGCCATTCAGTGAGTCTCAAAGGAATTTCAGATAACTGCAACCAAGAAGCAAGCAAGAAATGTTCTTTAATTCCCTTCTTTTGTATAGATTCTGATCACTCAAATGGCTGTGTTTTCATTGTTTAGCCACAGGATGCTTTCTGAAAAAAAAACCCTACACATGGTGCAGGAAGCTTGTTCAGGGTTTCAGAGGAACCTTAAATGTCATTGTTCTGTGGATCTCATGCTGCTCTGTTTTCCTTTCTTCTCTTCCTGGGGACCTGCTTCAGGCTCAAAGCTCTAGATAGTTTTGTTGATTCCCCCCCCCTTTTTTAAAAAGGGCCCTGGGTAAAGGGTGGAAGCGGGAACTTGAAATA